TGGACACTGGGCTTAAAGCCCGATGTCCACGATGCTAGAAATCAGTCCGAGATCTTGGACAGAGAAAAAATCGACAAATCACATTTGAACAATTTGATCACATGACCATTGCGATTGGTCAATTCTTTTTTCATCCGAGGTCTCGGACCGATTTTTAGTATCATGGACACAAGGCTTAAAGCCTTGTGTCCACGATACTAGAAATTGGTCCGAGATCTCGGAGAGGGAAAGAATTAACCAATTACATTTAAACAATTTAGTCACATGATCAATGCGATTGGTCAATTCTTTCTTCATCCGAGATCTCTGACGGATTTCTAGCATCGTGGACACTGGGCTTAAGAGACCGTGAAGAGTCTCTAACTAGAGTCTCTTTTTCTCGTGTCGCGACTCTGATTAGAGAGTCACTAATCCAACTCAATTGTAGTTAAAGTCACTAGAATCATAGTCTTTTTATGCACTTGGCAGTTGGTATTAGCTCACAGCGCAATCGCATGCGAATGTAACCAAAGTATGTTTGATACGTATCGAGTTTGACAGATATCTAACCTTTAAAAGCTCGAATTTTACGCTTGATAACTTGTTTCGCAAGACAGACCGCCGCATTTTTTATCGGATTCTTTCGTTTTGAATGAAAACGCGTTGAATAAGTACATTTTTACTAAGATTTGAGGTGAGGAGATATTCTAAATAAATACTGAAGTTTACAACAAGGGTGTCTTACCTTTAAGACTGGTTGAAGACATATTTCCATCTGAAGGAAGATTATCCCTACTTTACGCACACCACGCACTTTTGCATACAGATTTATCAAGAATTAGAAAATATGCGAATTATGCGAAATGGAACATCAGAGATAATAAAAAAGCAAGGGACCCTGTCCTGGCAATAGGCGTGGTAGAAAGCTTTCAAAACCCTCCAACCGGAGGGGTCAACAAAAAAAGTACCTTTATTCGTGTACATAAATATATTTTTATTGCAATTTAAAAAAAAATGACGAAACATTGTGAGGTACTTAATTGTCCAAATCGAAATAAAGGAAAATACAAGATTCATGTGTTTAGGTAAATTTAAGAAAAATAATTTTTAATTAATGATAGAAAAATGTATATGTTAGGTCAGATTATATAATCTTAATAGCATAGGCTAAATTCCAAAACGTCTCCAAGGATTTTACACGAAATGTATATACATGTACCGTATACTGTATTATATCTAAGGTAATTATATAGTTTAGCCCCTCTCACATCTCAAAACTTTTGAATCGTAAATTATTCTCTGCCGTAATTTAAATTATATAAAAAGATTGTTTTTAATTAATTAAAGCAGATAATTATTTATCATTAAATTATCATTATTACCAAGTAAACGTGATACAGCACACGTACAGTTTATTACATTAAGTCGGTATGATAGATTTCATAACTTGAATAGTCATCAATTTTAACAATTAATAGCTCGATTCACGGGTGAAGTTTTTTTCTGTCAGATCTTTTGTTTTATACAAAAACACATTAAGCCTAATTTCATTGATTTTGTGAGTGCAACTGGCTAAACCATGTATAATTACCATATCAAGTAAAATTTTCTTCCAAGAAAATGTCTTGAAATATAGTCTTAGAAGTACCGTTACATTTAATCTGCGACTCATATCTTATATTTGTACAAACATGAAGATCATATAAATAGTATAAATAGTTTATATGTGTATGTTTAGATTAAATTTAGATCAAATATAGAATTTAGATTGCCGAATAAATGCACGATGTATTTACACTGAATATAATACACTGAATACATTTTAGCTTTCCGCAAATAGAAAGCATAGCAGCTAAATGGATTGAAGCAACCGGACGGAAAAAATTTATACCTAACAAATACAGCGCAATTTGCAATATCCATTTTAAATCGGAAGATTTTAGCAACACTACAAGAAGAGTACGTTTAAAACCAGATGTAGTACCTACTGAAAATTTATTTAACAATTTTACAAGTACAGGTGAATACATAGAAGGTTAAAAAATATATATTTATATGTATTGTTATTAACATAGAACCATGGGTCTAAGTTAATTCAATTGCGATTCAAAATAAATCTAGTTTTTTTACGAGGGAGGGTTGTTACCATAAAAGTAAAATTATTTGTAATTAATTATGATTATTTATGAAAAGTCACAAAACTCTAAAGCTCTACATACAAATTCAAATAAATCGGTAAAGAAAAACTATTAGATTGGTCAAAAATAGCACAAGTCGCGGTTCTAGTGTTAAATATATAATTTCGAAAGCCATTATGAGCCAATGCAGATGTTAGTGCAAAAATGTAGATTATTAATTAAGCATTGAGTATAAAATATAAAACCGTGTAGACGTTTCGACTACTTTTTTGGTCTTCTTCAATACATTCAATACATAACTTAGCGCAAATAGTTGAGCAGTTATAAAAGACATAATATCTCCATGTGTGCTGATTATAATATTACGCAAATTCATTTCGATCCAAAAATATCATTATATTTACGTAATATTACAAAAGCGAAACGTTTACGTGGTTTTGTATTTTATATTTACTCAATGTTTAATTAACAAATTCTATATTTTCGCATCAATACCTGCGTTGGTTCATAACGGCTTTCGAATTTATTAAAGAAACTTTTATATTATAAATTAAATATTTTATTAATATTAATATTAATTTTAAAATATTTTAAATAAATCATTGATATATCACATATATATCAATGATTTATATTGAATGATGAATTTATTTATTTATATCATATATTTTATACCAAAGATTTAGAGTCGCTATGTAATATTTAGTTACATAAAATTTAATACATTATATGCTGAGGTACATCATATGAGATGATTATCTTTAAATCATTTTACTAAGAGCTAGTGATTTTTGTAGCGATGAAAAAAGTCTTAGGCCTGATTGCACCAATGTCACTTTGATCTTAAACGAGAATTAAAACTTATTTTATCTCTTTAAAGCCGAGAAAGAGGGAGAGGTAGAGAGAGAGAGAGAGAGAGAGAGAGAGAGAGAGAGAGAGAGAGAGAGAGAGAGAGAGAGTTTTAAGCCTTTAAAGTCAAAGTAACATTGGTGCAATCAGGCCTTAATTCCTTTTTGAAAGTATTGTCTTTAAATGTCATTAAAAATGATCTTATAAATATATATATTCTACATTATTTTTATTTAAGAGAACAGAAATTTTGACAGATACTTGAATGTTATTTTTACATTCCGTAATTATTTCAGGATATTCCAGGATACTTTTGGAATGTTTTCTTTTTAATTTTAAGAACTTTTTATGAATATTTCAGGAATATTTAGTATTAGCTAAGTTACTAGTGCATAATAAAATTACATTAAAAAATTATAGTATTAATTTCATTTTTGTTAATAATTCTTATTTACTTTTGTAGAAACAGTAAAAATAAATATAAGTGAAATAAGAAAGCAAAAAAGTTCAAATGAAAAAAAGATAGAAATTAAATTTATTCCGAAGTTAGAAGAAGATGAATTACAAAATTCTACATGTAAGCTAGATACAGGTATGTTTTTGTATGTGTCTATGTATTATAATATTATTTTCATTTTTGTTTGCAATTTTTATTTACTTTTGTTACAGACGAAACAAATACAAGTGAAACATCGAAGAGAAATGATGTATTTACATTTCAAGAAATGAAGATGAAAATCCAAAAATTGGAAAAGAAAAATGAAGAATTAATAAATAAATTACAATCTGTACAAATAAATTTAGAAGAAAAAATACAAGTTCAAGCAAATGTTTTCGAAAAAAAATTACAATGTCAAACAGCTAGGTTGAGACATATTATTGAAGAACAAAAAAGAAAATTTGTTACAAAAAACAAACAATTAAAAATATTAAGAATTGCCGTAAGACGAAAAAATAATTACATAAAAAATCTACTAGACATTGTTAAAATCAAGAAGATATTAACTAAAATATCATATAATACTTTAATACATGATTTTGGAGAATCATCTTAGTAAAAAATGAAAAATCAAAATAAACCTCATAGGCGATTCTTATATTTTAGACCATCTTAAGTGCAATCTTAAGATGTCATAAGCCAATTAGAAGGGAGTAGTAGCACCTTAAGACATTACTTAAGATGAGATTTTAAAATGAGAACAGACTATGAATACCGGCCATAGAAGATGGTATGTACAAAATGCACACATATTAAATGCACACATAATTCGCAGATAATTCAAGAAAATCCGAATTCTGATTCTGCAATGAGAATGTTTATATTTTTACTTAATAAATGTTTTAATAATAGAGGAAAGTCCCCCTATTATGAGATAGGCGCCTAATATAAGATAGTAGCGTTTCTGTTAAACTAATAAATGCTATCTATTGGTTCCACCATGAATTTATTGCTCTTGAATTGAAAACTATTTAGTAAAAAGTTCACTATTAGATCATGCCTGTAGTTATTGTAAAACAAGATTTTAAAATTTGGATGTCTTCAAGTTTTATTGAGATGAGCATTTAAACTTTGTTTATTATTTAATAAATAAATATTTGGCAATAAAATCTTCATGTAGTGATAGAGTAAGGTCGTACTAATAGAAAAATACGGGTTATGTTGAATTATTTAATTATAGAAGTTAGATTTGATGATCGTAAAGTTATAAGGCGTGGAAATCGTAATATGAGATACCCAGGGTATTCCTAATATGAAATATTAGGAATGCTCCTATGTTATAGTGAAAATCATTGCTAAAGTATAAATGTTATTGTACAATAATAAAAAAGACAACCGGAATGAACGTTGAGTGCCTATATCTGCGATGCTTGATTCCAACTACCTGAAAACAAGTTCTAAGTATAATCTATTGTATGCTCATTTTTCGCGCACGCTGGCTATGTTTGTTCGTATTTTAGAAACATTAAATAAAGTTTTTTAATTGCAATATTGATACTTTCCGTTTTACTATCGATTTTTCGGGACATCTCATATTAGGAGCACATTTTTTCATTTTGCGTTTTGCTCACTTTTTACATTTCTTTAATTTAAAAAAAAATGGAATTTGAATTAAATTTTAGGTAACGTCATCTTAAAGCTTATTAAATTCCTTTCAAAATGATCTATTATTTTTTTTTATTCTGCTTATAGACTTTTAGCATTTACCCAAAATGAATTCGATATCTCATAATAGGGACCTTTCCTTTACTTACAAGGGGTTTATTAATGGATTGTTGAACGAAAATTTTAATTTCGCATCTTCTATTATAGAAATAAAAGTTGCTGAATTTTAAGAAACTTGAAACCGAATATTTAAACAAGTTAATTTAACGAATTTTGTCTTATAATACGCGTCTGCATAAAAATGGAATTACGAAGTTGTATCTTTTTTTTATGCAGATTAGCTCGGTTTTATTAATATATAGTTATTAGCAATTATAGAGATCTTGAATACACTTAGAACTTTTCCAATCGCTATGTCAATTTAAGGTTTCATTTAGCAAAAGCTAGAGGCCTTCCATCACTCTGCTGATTTTATCGGCGGTCCTCTTTTCTTTGTAAATATACTTACATGCAAAAAAAAACGGGGCATTGTTTATATAATAGTCTGTTTTTGCGGGTAAGTATATGTGTTGTTTTATATTTATACAATAAATGAAGATAACGATTAACACCTGAGTATTATCTGTATCTCCTAACTCTTCGCTCTTACATCAGCGTTTGACTCTCATTAGTCTTATCCGAAATTCTATTTTATTGTTTTATATTTATACTTTTATTTCTAATTATTTTACTTTATATATATTCTGAATGCAATTTTTCAAAACTATTTTTGATTATAATTTTTTATTCAATTTAATACAACAATAATTGTAATATAGTAATTATGTGTATACTACAATTACAGTAATGATAATATACAATAAAAATAAATTAGTAATTAAAAAAGGGTTACGAGCCATATGTAATACAAAGAACATTTAATACACATAACAAATATAAAGAATGTTTAGTTACAAACGTTTCAACCTCGATCGGGTCATTTTCAACGTAAATAGTTAGTCCAAGAATTCCGTAAAATTACAAAAATATATATTGATCGCATTCCCTATCGCTCGATGTGTGCAGTCCAAACGTAAAAGCATCGTTTTATGTGAAAGTAAACGCGTCTTATGATTTCAAGATCTACAATCTTACAAATAATTCAAATACAAACAATTGCGTTACAGTTTAGATTAATTATCAAATATGTATAATTATATAGTAATTTAGTGCCAATTAAGCTACGTACATATATATACCTTGATTTATCATAGTGGTGTGAGTCCGACAATAAGAGAAATACGTAAAATAAACTAAGTCACATAGGTAAAAATAAGCCATGATAAGTATATTGAAACGTATCATTGACGATGTCAGGCGACGTTATGAGAAGGAAATAAGGAGACAAAGGAAAGACGGTGATTTGGAAGGGGCAGAGGACAAAACTAAGAAGGGGAAAGAGATTGAATAATATTGAGATATGATTCTAGCAGAGAATCTGTATCATTCTGTTTGTTTATCCCGTGTTTCTGTTTTTTAATATGAACCATCTCTGATATCAATCTCTTATTATAAGAAGCTTCAATGTCCAAAATTTCAACATTATCCCAGTCAAAATTATGATTCTGATCAATGCGATGATTGGTAATCACCGTTGGAGATTTTGACCTCTTATTAATATCAGATACATGTTCGTGCAATATTGTTTTTAATTGTCTTTTAGTTTGACCTACGTAACTAACATCGCAATCATCATAAGAGATCTTATATACAACGTTTTGATTGCAAAAATGATCCAACTGGTTTTTGCCCTTTTTTATAAAATTCTTTAATGTATTTGGTATAGAGAATGCCAATTTACAATGGCACCTATTAGCAATTGGAGTAAATTTTTCAGATATCGAATTCACGTAAAGTATTGTGAAAAATTTTTTCTTAATTTTTTGTCAGCAATTCTGCTATTAAAATCAGAGTGGAACTTTACTCTTTTTTGTACAGATGAAAAAATAAAATCCAGTGGATAACCATTACTTAGAAAAATATTTATTGCATTGATCAAATTATTTTGTTGAGGGTGACATAAACGTATAATTTTGTCAATAAATCCATATATTACACCTCTCTTGTGACATAGCGAATGGTGTGAATTAAAATTAAGAAGAACAATAAAAATAATATTAAGAGCATAATTAAAAAATTTTAATAATGTGGGATTATACGAAAACGTCAGGAATACATACGATAACATAAAATTTTATTAAACTAATAATGACTGAAATATTGATAAATGGAGTAAAACATTAGCAATAATTGAATATTTTTAATTGTTAATTTATGATTATAAAATTTATTAAGTTTCATCTAATTAAATTTAATAAATTTTCCTTCGCCTTGTGGTACGCTGCTTAGTATCCGAGAACAAAGAAGAACAATCTTCATAGTGGAGAGCGAATGTATTCTGATTCTACGTCAAATTCATAAGATCCATCCGTAAAGAAAAGTTAAGCAATACGTCAAATACTAACGATCTTGTTACAGAAGAATATGACTCCCGAATAATGCTGCTCTCTTCCAGGCTGCTTATATGTGATAATTTTGGCAGCATGTCAATTACAGTTATCATTTTTATCGCATCTTTAATATAATATTAAAATTTGCATTGAAGAAAATATGTTCTGCCATTATTAAAAATCATCTTTTATTGAAACTGAATGGATAGAATGATTTTCTTACGGAATAATAAAAGGAATATATTTAATAATAATAAAATACATGCACATTACTGTAGTCTTTTGCATGTATGGGTACAAAAATATAAAAGTTTCTCGGGTATCAACTGCATGTTCGAGTCGAACCCGATAATAGTGGAATTTTAAAGAACTATATTTTTATACTATAATATTTTTTAGTAAAATTATTTTTATACTGAAAAATTTATTATATAAAATTTAACAATTTCCTATATTTTTGTATATTTAAAAAATTGTAATTATTAATCCCGTTAATATGAGGGTACTAATGCTAATGATATCCGGGTACCCGGATACTCGCTCATTACCTGAAACATGCGGGTAATACCCGGGTACTCGTATTAGTCGTATTACCCGAGCGCTCGTTGATATTGGACGATCTAAAAGAATACACCGATAGCGGTGTATGTATTGTGAAGCTGCCTTCACATACAGCTAACTTGTGTAAGCGTAACTTGCGTCAGCCAATCAATCAACTCGTCCAGACACCAACTTCCTCGACGGCGAACACCTAGACACACATTTCCCTGACGGCGAACACCTAGACACTCACTTCCTCGACGGCGAACATGTAGACAACACCTAGATACTTAATTCCTCGACGGCGAACACCTAGACATTTAGTTTCTCCATGGCGAACACCTATAGACATCCATTTTCTTGACG